TTGTCACCAAAAATTATTTTAATTATTTTGTTAATAATATTTATTTTCTTTAAGGAAAATCTATTGGGAACATATACTGATCTCAGTGTACAATCTATATTTAGCGAAGCCTCTGTACAAAATGCTAGAGATCCTCATACATTTCACATTATTTCTAACGCTGGAGCCACAAGTAAGTATGCAGATTATTGGTGCTTTCCAGCAAGAGACACAGTGATCATATCATCTCTGTTTAAATGAAGATGTAACGATTCATTGTGTTACACTGTATTATCTGTGTCTTACTGGAAAGCATCCTATAGCGTAATACAGCAATATAATAAATTTAATTTTGTCACTACAGTATATCGTGCAGGCACTCACTTAACAATTTTTTTAGACTCCCCAGTGCCTCATGCAGCAGCGTCGTGGCTTACATTGCCACAGGAAGAGGCACTGTTTGCTCTTGCATACAGTTCAGCCACTATATTACTCTTGAGGCTCGATACACTTACAGGCCTCGTGCACACTAGTGAACTGAAACAGGACTCAATAATGCCCAAATTTTTAAGTGGTATAGCTACTGCATTTAGAGGTCGTAATACCGAAGCTTACGTGGCTATGTCTCTTGTTATACACAGTTACAGTAGCGATACGTATCTATTTGCATTATGTCGAGAGGGCAATCTACGTATATGGTCTTGTAACAAGACACAATGCGTAGCTGTAACAGATGCGGCTACCGAGAATCGTGTTGTATCACAAGGTGCGCAAGGTCATGTCTTAAGGAAAGCACTGGGCAACGATAACGAATTGTATCTTGGAACTTTCTTAAAATTTGGCACGGGATGTGAATTCAGTATTCTGAAGCCTGTGCAGGACAACGGCATGTTCAAGTTTATTAGATTATGTACATTATACGCGCCAGACGTAAGTACTTTTATTAATATTTCTCTTTCTACATATCTTCCTATGATAAAAACGTAATTTATATTATAATTGTTAATTATATAATTTAATAATTTATATTATTTGTACACAGCAACATTTGGTAGATTTTGCATTCACACAAACTAGATTGTGGGCAGTGTGGAGAACCGCGGACATGGATGCGATGGCAGTGACGCATGCACAGTTACCATTAACGCACCGTATTAAACCAGAATGGGAAACTGCGATTTTAGAACCAGCGCGTGACAGCGATTATATTGTAACTGATGAACCTGGACTAGATCCAAGAGAGGCATACATTAATTACATTTTTCATCCTGGAATGTTTTCATTGGCAGACATCACAAAAGCTCTAAGCATCTACAGAAGATCTAATGTTGTAGCAGATATGACTTTTTCACCAGCCGTTTTAAAAGAAAGGGTGTGTATGGCTGTAGAGGCCGAGATGCAGGCAGAAGTGATGGATTATGTGATTATGGATGAAGATTATCTCGAAATCGCTAATCGATGTTGGTCAAAATTCTACTCGTGCGTCGTCCAATACCACGCCAACGGTACTCGTCCTGTAGGTCTACTGCTACTGCCGAGCGTTTACGGCGTTGTGTTATTGAAGAAGTCCTCGTTCTCGTTTCTGAGACCTATGGAAGCTTTAGAACATCTGGTGCTTTGCAACAATAAGTCCTATATTTCTCGATTCAAGACGACGCCCATTCTATCGCAAGATGAAGACACATGTCAAGATCTAATCACATTAATGTCTGCGTTAGTCTTGTTAGGAGAACAATTATCTGAAGAAACTAAAACGGAAATCGAGAGACAATTGTATCATTTGAGAAGTCCAGATATCATAATTGATGATTTGCTGTCAAAACTGTTGGAACCTGACGATCCAGTGAGTATTTTAATTAATTTTTACTCTATTTTTTTTTATGCAATGTACTTTTATATAATATATATACTGTTAAAAATAGCTGTCGGATTTTGACTTCCAATCAGAACTCTGTCATAAACTGAGTCACGTTAAAGATATATCAGGAGCCATGGCCATGTTGTTAGAAGCTTTAACATATGATCTTGGGCAGCCGAATAAACTGCAATTTGAGGATGACCACGATACTTCGAAACTTTTGTTGAATGTCAATCATCTATTTAGCAGTCAACTAGGAATTGCCACGATAGCGGAAACCATAACGCAAATAGCGCTTCTGAGATTTTCTATCTGCAGAGATTTGTTGATACTGCAACAACTCATACTACTTCGTCCTGAGATATTTAATTCAAGATCTTTACATACTATAAGGTCATCGTTAGCGCCGAGAACCGTTGTACTTACTCAAGCTTACTATGTCGTCACGTGGCTATGCGAATCGACAGCATTGTATACGCCTTCACAATCATTACTGTAAGTCTTATTGTTTTATATCATAATAAATATAAATTTATTTCCGCGACCAGGTGATTTAAGCAGCAACGTGAAGACATGTTAAAGAAGATTACAAAATTTCAGTGAATCCAGTTCTCAACGTCTTTCAACTCTTAAGCTCGCTGATTCGCGAATTAATGTTGGACAGAGGCAGCATCGGTCTCTCTCGCTGTTAGAATTGTTTATTCATAGCAGCGGTGCGAAACATGCCCATATTTTGATGGCTCATGCGAACATGGACCCAACAACTCTGATACCTTGGCATTACAGTATGCTAACGCATGTGACGCTTATCGCGCAACTAATGTATCCTTTAATAACAGTTTCAACACAATTTTGTGTCAACGATTCTTTTATGTCAAGTTCAAATAATTCAAGATTTATTGTTTCTATATATTTTCTTGAACAATACAATTAGATGGCCGATATCCGGAAATTTTATCTTCCCTGAATGGCTACTCTCCAGTTGTCAATTCCTGCTTGTTCAAGAATATGTAAGACTTCTGAACACATGGTGCGAGTGGAATAGCGCTTCAAGGAAATTTATATTAGCGGTTGCCTTATTAGAAATGGGAGAGATGCAAAAGGCATGCGATCATTTTCTTCGTGCTTCCGACGGAATATTGACCGACCCGTTTCTAGTAGATGCCTTACTCAATTCTAACGTGACATCGAGAAATAGGGATTTAGTTTATTATTATCTGAAAGTTATCAAATTATTTGAAGAGCACAATGCGTCCGACTGTATCATAGAGATCGCTGAAACGGCCATAACAAACGCTGACGCAGATGATCCGAATTTGCCGACACTTCATTCTATAATATTCGCACAACATTTAAGTCTGGGTCATCACGCAGAAGCTTACCATTGCTTGAACGCGAATCCAGATCCCGTACGCAGAGTGGACTGTTTACGGCAATTGGTCGTTACGTTATTCGAAAAAAAATTGTTGATAGATTTAATTTCTTTTCCTTATATTGATATGTACGAGGATCTCGAGAGAATAGTAGAAGGCAGAGCCAGAAGCGTTGATCTTATGGAAAACAATTATTATAATTTTCTGTATAGTTTCCATGTCAATAAGCAAAACATGCGGAAAGGTAAGCTTGTTCTGTAACTGAGCATACATGTACACATATTATATGTATATACATCTATAAACTTTTATTATATTTTTATAGCCGCATCCATAATGTACGAACAAGCTATGCGTTTGAGTCAAGAGCCTCACTCTGCACCGATTATAGCGAAGCAAGCACAATGTCTACTAGCGTGTATTAATGCTTTACATCATGTAAGTGAAAAGTACAGGTGGATCGTAAGACCTGTAATTGATCAGAGTATCTCTAGTGAAATGAATTCGTCGAATCCACAAAAGAAAAGAGACATTGACGGAAAAGAAGTTTTGCATTATAAGATAAAGAAACAAGTCGAAGTACTCGAACTGGATGATATAAAAAAGGAGTATTATATAGTAGATGCAAGATTAAAAATATCAAAAGTAAATTCGGAAATACATATAGTTGCACATACTGGTAAATGTCTCTTAATGTAATTTGTCTTTATGAAGAAATTGACCGAAATTTTATTATATATATGTTCATATATTTCAGAACTATCCGAGCTTATCGTCACTTTATGTAGCATTGGCTTGTACGCAACAGCGCTACATTTATGCGATGTATTTAAAATTAGTAAAGCCTCTGTACTCAAAAGTTTGACCTCTCAATGCATCAAATTGAGCCAACGCGAGGATCCGAACGCCTGGGACTGGCTAATACAAAATGATATATTCGGTATGCATAATTTTATTATAATTTTGCAAACTACTGCAGAATGATATTTTTTTCCAAGAGCTATGTATATATATATATATAACAATTATTCTTCAGATATTGGAATATCTAATACAACCATTACAAACACTGCTTGGAGATTGTTAGAGTACTTCACATTGAAGCATGAAAAGAGTGATAACTGCGAACTACATAAAGCCGTTGCACAAAAATTACTGCAAGATGGAGTTTTTCTACCACAATGGTTATTAATATCATATAAAGTAAGTACTTGATCATATAGTATTTGTATAATATTTCTATGTTGATAAAATATTCTACTTACATCAAAATTTGTAGAAGCGAAACGCGTCAGAGCTTCTTCGTCTCATGCTAAATACTGGTCGACTAGTGGAAGCCAGTGACTTAGCGGTAGATTACATTAACGCGGTATTAGGTAGTGGTAAAGAACATTTTGGTCTTGAAACACCATTAGTAGCTATGGCGCCACCTGTTTGGTTACCACTTAATACTATGGAAGTATTATTAAGTGAATTACGGCACTTGAAAAATGACTCAGCTCATGCAGAGGTAAAGTATATATATTTTTAATATATATTTGTAAAAATGTATATTTATATACTAACATCACAACTCGATATATGCTGAAATTTATATTTTAGAGCTACGAAAGATTGGATGCAACTTTGGAAAAGTATCTGGAAACGGTAGAACGTGTTTCAGAAGACATGATTAAAATGAAAATGATGAATGAGCAGTCCTAGTAGTAAGTAATATATCTATTTATTCAATATATATATATAATTGTTACAAAAATTCTTGTATATATTATTGATTATAAACTCCCAGTTCAATGTACATATGGAAGAAAGATTTATGTAATTATTGTATGTAATTATTTGGTATAAATATATTAAGTATAAACTGGATCGTGATTAAGTGACAATATAATTGTTAATATGATAATGATAGTGAGTATTGCAGTAACAATCGCGGCTATTATATGAGGACATCGTTTGAACAATACCTATAATTGTCATTTAAAATTTAAAATTTTTATTAAAAATTTCATTAATAAAAAAAAACGATCATGAGATTACAATAAATTTATAGTCATTACCATAAGCAAAACAACCATTGCAAGAATAAGAATAGATCCGACTGGTAATAAAAAGGATGCAGCCCAATAATGTTTCATTGTAGGTTCTATAAAAAAGAAATAATTATGTTACTTTTAACTTATTTTAAAAAATTTTATTATATGAAGAAAACAATATTTTATATGTTTTTAGATTAGATGCTCACCTATACGCCAATCTTGGTTAAATCTATTATAAATGGGAGAAGGCGATTTTATTATAATACTATTGTATTTTTCAATTGCAGAACCAAGAAAACTTTTTGTATCTATGGTCCACGTATCATCTCTCAACTGGTCTCCTGCGATGTACATACTTATGTCAATTTATATTATTAATACAGTAACTGAAACAGTATAAAAAAATTATCGTTTATAATTTTTAAAATCTATCTTGATTTTTTACGTTTATTAAACGTGAGTTTTCCATTATGTAATAAGGGAATTTATTTGTAAGGTGATTTAAAGTGCCAAGAATTGTAATATACTTTACACATCTTGTTAGAATACAGTTAATGGTAAGGATGTTTTGTTGAATGTTTAAATTTTAAATTATTGTTTATTAAATCTCACTATTTAGTATCACTTGTATAACTTCAGAAACTACAGAATTATAATATAATGAAGTTAAATATCATTGTCATATTTTTTTATACGTTGCAATCTTACCTCTTCTGTAATCTAACAATGTTTATTGTATACAACATTCTCATTAAAGACTGTTACTTATTTGCGTCATTCTCAATGATAGTATAACATTATTATTATTATTAATTATACATAATAATTTCTTCCATTTTTACATTAAACTCTACTATCAACAAACAATTTTTTATTGTTTATCGTGAGTTTTAATAATGTAACTATGTGTTTATATAAACCGTTTTATTTTTATTGAAATCCTATCATGTAAAATTTATTGTAAGAAAACGAAATGAGACAATCATTTGTGTAACTTTCAAAAAAAATTGTGACATTGTAGCCATATAATGTATACGATGAAAGTATTCGTAATTATTTAATCACATATTATAATAGAACATATGTTTCACACATTTTAAATCTTATATATGTTTCTAACGTAATTATGTGTGTAATTTAATTTGCGTTGCTAATGATAATTTACAAAGAAAATGTGGATTTTTAGTGTGAATTTATCATCAAGTATGATCATAAATAGCCCAAAACAATCAAATTAAATTTTACAAAGCACACAGAACATGTGACATATTGAATCTGTCTGATAGCAAACTTATGATAGAAAAAATTATCCTTATTTATAATAATGAATATTTTCATTTATAAAATGACAAACACTGCTCCGTTTCTGCTATCAGTTTTATTATCGGAATATAAATGGCTTTAATTAAATTCCATTTATCCAGCTTATCAAATAATATCTGTAATTTCACAAGATAAAATTATTGATTTTAATTTAACACATGAGAATAAAGATTACATTAAGGATAACGGATATATAATTAGAAAGTTTTCTTTAAACAATTCTGCTGATTTAATTGATTATCAATTGAGTTAATCAGTTTGATCGAGATTGCCCTATGTCAACAAATTCTACCTGTAAAACACAAATAGACAGTTGATGCCAATCTTATCGAGGATATAATTTCGGAATATACTACATAGACCAATAGTACTGTAAGATATGAATCCGTAAGGATAGTGTTCAGAATGTTCGAATTAATAATTGTTCTTGAATGTATATAGATTGAGACTAAGACTTTATTCAGTTCACACTTTATTACTGATAATCGAAGAACTGCGCTCCGACCGGCACGAATATTAATTAGCTCGATAACAAGGAACTTAGCGTGTGGAAAACGTATGAATACGATGCACGACCGTGAAAATGTCTTGTCGATACCATAGGAAAAACCATTCTCCCATTTCGAATATTCGTGAGACATCGCTCCGGTGTCTCCGGTATATCATCCTTTCCCAATGCATTGTTAGAGAAAAGATTAGCCAACGCAGCTAAAATATAGCTGTAGCAGCTAAATAATGTGCCCTTATGATAGGGACAGCTAATGTCGTTGCTACCAAAGCTCGATTTAGTATCAGTTGCTGGTTCAAACTTTGCTGTTATCGCTAAAAGTTGACTATTGAAGATAAAATACATTTGGTGCCGACATCCAACTTTATTAGTTAAAATTAAAAACGTACTTAACATGAGTAGCTAAGTGGCAGCTATTCCTCACTATCTTAGCCGAGCATTCCATTCGCAATTGTTTCTGGTTCAACGCTGCCGGTTGCCTGCGCTGTCTACGCATAATATCGTTTTAACGATATTGTGTAGCATATGCTCATTGCATCTACCACCGTCTATTTCGATTTATTCTCTAGTACGATTAATAGTAATATAACACGTGTGTTATATCACAATTATATCGTTAATTGTAACACGAAATTACAATTAACAGGTACGTTACATGTAATTTTAGTTTACTCGGACTGTAAAAAGTTCATTTCATGTATTATGGATCCTTTAATATAAGCTAATATAATACATATAATAAGTTTTTTTTATGTATGCTTTCTTATTTTTATTACAATACATAATATAAATTGATAATGTTTTGTTATAATTTTTTTATTTTTTATCCAAATCTGACACGTTTGATTTAACGAGACGAAATGAACGAATGGAGATTGGATTGGACTGCTTATACGTGTACAAAATCCCTCTTATCTTTATCTCATTAAATAAACACGCTTCATCTTGCAATGTAGATCTGGTAATTATTGGCAGTTTTTAGAAATATACTAAAATGTAGCATCGAAATGTATAATGTATACCTGAATTATAGACTTTCAATACTACAGAGAAGAGGAACAATGTTAAATTAACAGCATCTAATTGAAAATAATCTTGTTAATTTACAGTATTAATGCAACAAATACGCCATCATTCTCTTGTTTTAAAAAAATGTTATCTATTTCATTATATATATAATACTATTATTGAATGAACAAGACTTTTGAATAGATTGTTGTTGGCAAATTTGCTTTGGCAAATTAATACAACATTTTTTCCATGTATCAATATATTTTTAAATGCAGTAGCTAATATAAAAGTACTCCTGTATCAAGTTTGATACAATTTGATAGCTGGAATGATTAAAATCACTAGCATATGCAATGTCGGCTAAGATTTTTAATCTTACTGCAAATATATTAGTTTCTGTTGCAAAAGAAATTAGCTTAATGTCAATTAAAATAAAGGGCATTTACCACGAGCGCTCGATGTCTAATAGCGAATCTTCTTCCGAAGTCAATACTTAAAATTACATTCAATTATAATTTCTAACAAATTCATCAACTATATATAGACGTTTCGACCTCATATCGGGCCATCATCAGTATATAACTAAAATTAACATATAATCCTATTACAATTAAATGTTGAGTATCTTCTTTTCTTTACATGTTATATAATCCGTTGTTCTTTTTGTTTTTCATATACAATTTTTCCTGTTAACCGATGTTATCTAATTGTTGTACTTGTACACGTAATTTCCAGATTCTGTATATAAGTCGAACTTAGAGTATTTGATCTCATCAGTGGGTGACATGTTACTGTTTCCAATTTTCTTTGTGTACTCTCTGTATATAGTATAGTATATAGTATATGTACTCTCTATATATAGTTGATGAATTTGTTAGAAATTATAATTGAATGTAATTTTAAGTATTGACTTCGGAAGAAGATTCGCTATTAGACATCGAGCGCTCGTGATAAATGCCCTTTATTTTAATTGTTTTTAAAATTTGACCACGTATTGACAATTAATGTTTAGCTTAATGTGTTTAGCTAAACATCATTTTATTCTAACAGCATCTAAATTTTAGCAGCTAATAAAGCTTTGGCAGACATTAGCCGTCTCTTATTACAAGGACACATTTTAGCTGCGTTGGCTAATCTTTTCTCTGCGTGTGTCGTCGAATTAGTTAGGGAAGCTTTTTATACACGTTTTTTGTAAGTTTGACATTTACAGTTTCGTGATATCTTACAGTACTGAAGTACTGAAGTCAAACGCTCACGTTGTATCGTTGTATATGCCATGTCGCTGCGCTCATCTTAACGCCGTGTCTCCTGATAAATTTTCTGTCAGCATCTTGTAAAACGCAACCTGCAATGTCTGATGCAGTCCTACGGCGTACGTACACTGTTCGCCGAGACTGGCAATGAAAAATAGCGTAATTATGCGTGCTTACCTCGACGCACTACATCCTCATGTAAGATCTTTTCGATTATTGCCATCCTCCGCGGGGCATATCACCGAATACGCGCCCAAACTGAAAACAAAGGCGAAACTAAGACGTGTTTAACATACCGAGCATACGGTTGGTGTAATTCGATCTTTGCGTGCGACATAACATTTTATTTGTAATGTGCGGGACGACGAGCGAGATAAACAAGTTAAAAGTTCAATCGTTCCTCTCAGTTCCTCTCGCCGCACGCGAGATACCTGACTTCGGAAATCAGAATCACAGATGATTCATTCAATTCATTGCGCTCGCTCCGTACTGCACTCGCCTGCACTCGCGAATAAAACATAGTTAAAATCATCTTTTTTTTCTCGTTTAAGTCGCGTTTGTTTCCGTTTCATGGAGGACCGGATACACGTGCATTAAGACTACAAGAAAACGACAAAAAAAAACAAAGTGTGATCGAGCAAACGACTCTGATTTCGTATACACTTGATCGCTATCTGGATCACCCTCTTTTGATCACTCAACGGATCTCATTTGCATTTGTTTCAATCTGTCTACATCCACGACATTTCACGAATGCTTGGCTCGATCAGCCCGATGGCATGGCGGCGTGTTAAAAAACCGGTTGTTTTGTTGACGTTTTGTACGTAGCCGACACCACGCGAACTCGGCAGGATGATCAAGATTTCGGCGCTCAACGAGGAGTCAAGTGAGGAAAGCGAGGAGGAGGATTTGCCCACGATCACGAAGGAGGCGCAGGTAGGACACGCGTCTATTTACATTGTCGTATAACCTAAAAGAGACGTAGGTATGAATTTCTTCGACGCTTCTCCGTTGTTTTATATCGTTATCGATTACAACATTAATTTACAATGCATCCTTGCATCGATGTTATCTATCCATTGTGGATAACTAACGTTTGAAGAGCACACAGAGATCCTCATCCAATACCAGGTGGGATACAACTTGTGTGTGTATGTGTGTGTGTGTGCTGCTAAACACAAAGTAACAATAATATTATATCAATATTATAATTTCCTATTGAACTTAACTGTAACGTACAACATGTGTTAGAATAGATTTATATTGTTGAGTGGGAATTATAAATGTAATGTTACTATTATTTTGTGTTTAGCAGATAATCACTCTCCAGTGAAGTACACTTTAAATTACCTACCTACGCAGTACATTTTATCCGAGAGATGTTCTGGAAACATTCTTATTCAGATCATTGTCCAAAATTAACATAAGATTTTATAAAGTTTTAGATTGGAAATACATTGAAGACTAAGATTGAAGATTAAAGATTGAAATTTGACCAACGAGGACAAAGAAATTTTAGCTCCTTTTGTTTTTATTGATCAAATTTCAATCTTTCAATCTTAATCTTTAATATATAGTCATACTGAGAATCTTGAAATTTGAAGCAATTCGAAATATTATATTGATATGTGTGGTAAAATGTGAAATAATTTCTTCCAGGAACAAATAGCATTGACGGAATACAACAAAGCCCTGGAGCTGTTGAAAGAGAACAAACGTGAGGAAGCACTGGTCGTCTTCAAGGATCTTCTAGAGACCGAACTGTTGGACGAAGTGGAAAAGCCTGAAGTACCAGATGGCAGATCTAGACCAATGTTGTCCTTGAAATATTCCTGCTTCAAGAACATTGGCGCCATTCAAGCGGCTTGTGAGAATTATGAGGAAGCTGTGGAGAATTATTGGGAGGCTGCAAACCTGGACGATTCCGACGTAACGTTGTGGCATAGGATCGGCACATTAGCTATGAAGATTTCCAACTTGGAGTTAGCTTGCTCGGCATTAGTAATATTAATCATTGGCCATGCTTGGATAACCTCATAACTGCCTTATATGCCGTTCCTGATTATATGAATTGTCTGTTATATATTTCTGTGGCATTGGAAAGGGATTCTAATTACGTGAAGGGTCTGGCTTTTCGTGACAAGATATTTAAAGACATTCCATGTATGGAAGAATGTTATAAGCTGTACAATAGCGACTGGCAGATGGATCCACCTTTGTATATTGAATATGATCATGTCTTGGGTGACAAATTATTAGCAGAGGCGAAGGAAGTTTCCAGAAAATGGGTGGAAGTTTGCAAAGCAGAGTTTACGCCAAAACCTTTACCAGAATTGATTTTAAGAATGCCTTTAACGAACTGCACATGGTTGGCTCTCGGAGAAAGTCTATTAGACATGCATAGATATATTAATGATAATAATTTGAATTTTGTTAGTAAAATTGTATTACCAGTTCAAAAACCTGATGATAAGAATACAGCGAATAATGAACTAGAAATTGTAGAAAGTAGTGTAAGTATAATGGAAGTGGATCAACAAAATGACTTGATTCCGAATAGAGAGACTGATATCAAACCTATTAAAATTGAAACGGACGATTGTGAGATATCAGACGACAATCAAGTTTTTAATACAGACACAGTAATGGAAATTGAAATCGAAGACGATAAAAAATCTTGCTCAAGCGATGTGCAAATAGTCGAAGAGGAAGATCCGTTAAGAATGTCTGACACAGATGGTTTACAAAGTGAAGAACAAACTGAAACAAAAAACATAGAATCGGAGGAACAAATGCATTCTGAAGCAGATGCAAATATCGACAAGTTAGAGAGCGACAAAGTCACAGACGATATTTACTGCATGGATAATGGAGTACCTAATGAGAAATGTAGTGATAAGGAAAGTGATAAATCAAGTGATAAGGCTTCTGAAAAAGGTACTGAGAAAGCGAACAATGCAATGTGTAAAGCAGACGATAAAACTCATTCCGAGAAAGCTGATGGAAAGGAAGAAGGACAGAAGGTGAAGAAAAGACGCAGAAGTGCATTATGTTTTCTGCAACAATGGGCCTGGAGTTGCAGCAGCATGAGGCGATCTGCGAGAGTAAGAGGACCAAACAGAAGAGAAGCAGAGAGGGACGATGTTCAGTTAGAGGAAACACTTAGAAGATTATTTCCTAGTACTCTATTGTATGTATATTAAATAATGATTTATATGTAATTAGTTTAAAAAAGCTTAAAATATAATTTCCTTTAATTTTTTTTTCTACAGACCCGACACGGTAAGATTGACTAAAGATGACGTTACTAAAAATCTGGATGATTCCATGGACACTATGGATATGTACCAATTATTTGCGAATCGGGAGAATAATAAGAATGTGGAAACTCTTAAATGCTCGGAAAGTTCTAAATCACCAAGTCCTGACACAAGGTGTTTGTCTATAATTAAATCTTTATCGATGTAATAATATTATTGTAATAATATTACTATTAATCTGTGACTTTATATTTGTACAGTCCACCACAGAAATACTTTGGAACAGAAACTGAAATTGCCGATGTGGACGCATTTATAAATGAACATAGTAGTAAAAGCAATTTAATGATAATTATCACGAAATTTGCAGAATTTTTATGTACTAAATGGAATCAAGAATGGCCGAAAGGAATGTCAGATATTTATCTACAAGCATATGCCTTTATGAGGTAGATATATAGTGTCGCTGCGCTTGGCTTAGCGCCGAGACACTATCGTGTCTCCAGATAAGGATTAATTTTAATTTTTAATTTATGTTATTAAAAGCGAAAAGTTTGAGTTACAAAAAAATTTTTTTTTAGACAACATATTCCACACTTATCACCATTTGATGAAGATGCCAATGACAAAGTTCTGAAATTAGATACCGAAGCGACATTGTTATTTGGTGAACTTCATACAGATAGATGGCTAGATAATAAACCAGACACCATGCCAAGTCCAACGTAAGATTTCAATAATATTAATTTTTTCTTTATATTGATAAAAATAATTTATATATATAAAAATAAAATCATTATTGCAGATTAGATAAACTTGGCACTGGAATGCCAGCAGAAGAATTAGGACATATAATATTCGCAAGTGTTAGACAGGATCTTCTAATTGAAGAAAATTTATGTACATTATTGAGAATTTTGTGGCTAAAAAGTAACATTTTCCTGTGCCAAGGTGATATAGACGTAGTCATAGAAACATTAGAACTGGTAAGAAGGTTCAAATATAATATTGAGTTTAAAATTAAGTTTAAAGTAATATTAAAATAATTATTATTACAAACTACAGATACGAATTTTTTTAGTTGTTGAATCGTCTGCATGAAATGGAAAGTAAAAGCCTAAATCCATGTATTATGCTTTTAAATTGTAAAAATAACTCTCAAATTAGTGCCAAACTAGTAAAAAAAAAGCTTACATCGATCCAAAGGTATTTCTTTTTAAATATTTATGTTAATGTATACTTACTGTATTATATATATGTCAAAACTATATGTTAAAGATACTACGACTTAATTTTGTATTATAGGGGTCAAAAATTAGGCGAGATTCAACATCTGTATGAGGAAAAGAAATATGCAGAATTGGCTTGCATATTGCAGGATACTTTTAAATTTGCTAAACAGAGACACAAACTATTAGGAACTAATGAAAATATCGTCGACAGAGTTCGACAATTAAACATGTTACTTGATAGCTTGTGGCAACTTCAACAATATGAAGTAATAATATAAATATGTATATATAAAAATAGATTTTTAGTAATACCAATACTTTCAGGAATGTTATATCTGGGCAGAGGCTTGTCTGAATGAATCATGGCAAAATTACTTGAATTCGTCTGACGAAACTGAGCAGAAGAAATGGACGAGTTCTGTTGTAACAGCACTTGAGAAATTAGAAGTTTGTACAATTGAAGCCAGTGTTTTTATTGGTAAGATCATAATCTTTATCAATGACATTCTTATAATATAACATTATTACGCTAATTTATACGTTAATATATTACGCTAATTTTATGATTTATCATAATTCTAGTAAAATATCTATCAGAACCTCGTCTATCGAGATTAGTACAAAATTTAGTTCACATCGTTTGTCATCAGTTGGATGTACCAGAAAGTGCTGTGGAGATGCCATTGGAGACTGTTCTACCTTGGATATTGTTACATTACATTCTGCAATAGTAAGTTTTACCAAGAAATATATACAGGGTGAGTCATTTTAATCTATGGACCCGAATATCTTCCAAATTACGGTATCTACAAAAAAATGGTTTAGATAAAAGTTGACCAGGACAGAGGGGGTCATTTAATTGTACCATTAGTTTTGACCTTGAGGTCAATTTTGAAGGTCATTTCAAGGTCACGATGGTTTTAAAAGTACACCAGATCGTTTTTCAAGCATTTGACCTTCATTTTTGACCTTTCCAAGGTCGCAAAAACAATTTTTTCATAAGACAAGTTTGATGTAAAATTTTCCGCTCTTTCGAAATCCGCAGTCAAAAATAGGGTGTCCCATTTAAAAAAACCATCGTGACCTTGAAATGACCTTCAAAATTGACCTCAAGGTCAAAACTAATGGTACAATTAAATGACCCCCTCTGTCCTGGTCAACTTTTATCTAAACCATTTTTTTGTAGATACCGTAATTTGGAAGATATTCGGATCCATAGATTAAAATGACTCACCCTGTATATGATGGATTTATGTTATCATATGTATTATATGAAATTAATTTGCCAATAGCAAAGAAGATAAGGAGAGGGCAAACACAGAGTCTTATAAAAATAAATCGCACAGTTCTCATAATTCCGAATCGGATGATGAAGATGACGGCATTCCACCGTCTATCATGATTTTATTCATTGCTCATGAATTTATCGGTAGACATTCGTGGTGTTGTTTCAACGAGGCGAAACTCTTATTTTTCATTATGAATCTTATCATACCGCATCTCGAAACTCCTCTGTATGTTTCTATCAAGAATAGGTTCACGAAATATTTAGAACAGATATTCTATTGCCTATACGGTCATCCAAATAGGGTGAACAAAATGCGGCCAAAGTATCTTCAGGATCACGGAGTACCGCAAATGGAATTAACCTGGGACGGGGCGCAGCTGTTGTTTGATTTTTATAAACCGAAACAGCTGCCAAACTTTCAGTCTCCCAAAGTTCTTTCTATCAGCATGGATACGGAGATACTGTTCAAGAGAATAATTAGATTAGTTCCTCAAGAAAGCGATCCGAATCAAATAGTAGACGAAATGACGGCATATATAACCGGTGTAAAAGACAAGATGCCGAGCGTAATGAAACCTTTACCGCACTCGATATCCACCATTTACTACTTGTTGGGTGATTTTTATTTTAAAAACAATAAGTGGGAACACGCATGTCGGTATTATCTATTAGATTTGTGTTTATATCCAAAAGGATTAAATTCATGGGCAGGTTTAGCTATGGCAACAGGCAGTATAATAGAGAATTGGTTGAACAGTTACAGACCTGTGTAAGTAGTGCTTTCTAAATTTTACTTATGTGTTGCACTTTACATACGTAATATATGTCTTTGATTTTTTTAGAGGGAAGGATAAGTTCCTCAATAAGGCAAAAATGGCGCAGTCGAGTTATAAACATGCTACCGAGCTAGCGCCTGGTCATTCTGTAATTTGGACAGAGTACGGGAATTTTGTTTATATGGTTCATTCGTTTTGTTCACGATTGCTCAAACAAGAGACCGATACATTAAGTATGGAGAGATTTGAAATTTTGGAAACTAGAAAAGAAGAGATGCTGAAGATTGCAGATCAGTGTTTTGAATCTGCTAACAGAATATGTCAAACTATTGAAGAACCATCCATACAACATGATGAAAGATGGCTTTATCAATACATGCTTGGTAAAGTCGCAGAGAAAAAAAATCAGGATCCTCCTGTATTCTTAGAACATTACGCAAAGGTTAATTATTACGTTTCTTATATATATTATTTATTATATATTTTTATGAATTATTATATGATAATAATGCTCAATATCCACGTAGAATAAGCCACAAGAGTCCACAAAATCTGTCTATAGAGGCCCTAGAAGTTCATTATCGCATTCATGCGAGTATATTGAAATATTTGGAACAACACGAAGGAAAGCCACTGAAGAAATCATTAGGTCAATTGTTTCATTGGCATCTTAAAAACTGTTCCGAAGGGCCCTTTATGACGTATCAACCTAAAATTAACGATAAGAAAAAAGAAGAAAACGATATTGAGAAAAGTATTACGAAAGAGGTCGACAGTACAGCAGATGCGGATAAAAATGTAGCAGTATGTCAACGCTCAAATAGTATTGAAGAGATAGAAATCATAGATAAGTCAAACAAAATCTCTGATATTAAGTCTACAGAACTAGGAAAGTCTGAAAGTCGTAAACGATGTCCTGATGAACTATCACATGACAATACAAAGAGAATAAAGTTAAGTAGTGTCTCGCATTTACAATTAATGCAGGACGTTGTAGCCTTAATAGATGATTTAATTACCAAAGTTTGCGATATGGTGTCGCAAAAGGAAAAAAGCGATGATATAATGATCATATCTAGTGATGAAAGTAATGAGACAAAATTGCAAAAAAAGAAACTAGAAAACAAGAATACCGATAAAATGAAATCGCAGCCAAAAACCGAGGAGAACAAGAAAAGTTCAGTAAATATATTGACAGTTGATTCTGTACGAAAGACCGATGATGTACAGGATTTAATGGATGCTCTCATGAAACAGGCAATGGAAATTAGCCAGGAAACACAGCAATCTTCAGCGGATGATGAGGATACCAGAAGATTCGATGGCAAATGGTTACAAAACGAAGACTTGCAATCTACCGTGAGTTTGTTATGTTTTTGTATATTTTATTAATATATAAATTTTTAATATTAATTGAGATATATATATTAATATATATATGTATGCAATTAATTTTAATATACAGGAAAAGGAAAATAAAGATAAAGTAGAAGAGAAGAGAAAAGCACAAGCCAATGCGAATGAAGAAATGACTTTAAGCAGAAGGGGCTCTCAAGAAAGCACTACAACGACACAAACCACAACCACGACTACAGAGACAAATAATTCGAGCTCTAGTAGTAGCGAGGAATCCAGTAGTAGCGACGATAGTTCTGACAGCGATAGCTCTAGCGATAGTGATAGCGAATCTGTCGACAGCGACGCGGACAAAAAGAAGAAAGATTCTAATAATATAGAAAATGGTAAAGAAGTATACTCTATTGTTGTTTAATTATTATAGAAATTAATTAATTTTTATAATTTGCCAGCGTTATATTTTATTAGTATATAAAAATTAATATAATTTGTATTGGACATTTATATTTTAAATTCTAGAGGAACAGATGCCAGAAGAAGAAGTAGCGACATTAATTGCGTATTGCTTAGCTGGTTTGGAACAGTGTATATTAAGATTCGCAGAACATCACAAGTCATTTTATAGACTTTCACACTTCTTCTTTAATAATAAAAAGGCGAAAGATACCGTTAAATGTAAGGATCTTTTATTAGGAACATATACTTGTAAATTCTATCCTGGACAAACTTTTCAAGGACTTTTTGCCGAGAGAAGAAGTACCAACTTTTTTAATGTAAGTATTCCTTATAATTGTATATGCATGATGTACAATACACTTAACATAAAATATCATATATTGTGTACATAATATAAGATATTAGGGAAATTATTTAAAATAATAAGTAAATAAATAATATTTTAATTGATCTTACAATTTAAGTCAATGTCTAATCTAAATCATTTAGAACAGTGATGCATAACGTTTTTAAAACTGAAGTAGACAAAATCTTGCAGGCATATCTATTTCGATAGTGCGCGCGCGTATGTGTATTTATATATATATATATAAAATCAGATTTTATTTAATTCATATAATTTACTATATTACTTATACAATTTACCCATATATGTTATAACACAAATACGTGTATAAGTATATAAACAAATTTTATAATATCAAAAAAATTATAAATGTCTATATGTAACTTCTTTATTGATATTAAAATTTTTTTATCTGTTTATTTTTATTACAGTTATTTATTTTGATTATTTATAATTGTTTTCGCACAACTCTACACATTATGTAAAAATAACTACCAGAATGATTAATTTTGAATTTTATGTCATCAATAAGAAAATTAAAATATTAAGATAATTTATAAAAATCAAATATTTGCAAACATGTCATTTATTTATGAAACAAGCTATATTTTCAAATATAAATTCTTAAAGATTTTTAAATGTATTTCAAATGAAACTGTTAAATTGTATATATATATATACACACATATATATAATGCATGATAGTATTTTAATAGTCATATAAAATAAAAATATAACTATACTTTGGCTATGTACCGGCAAATTGATTTAGAAAGATATTGTGATACTAAACTTTTAAATGCTTCTTTATCAAAAGATTTTACGACTCTTGCATTATTTATATGGCTATTATAATCTATGACAACTGAACCTCTTGCATCACCAACAAGTATTGGAGTTAAATTAACTTCAGAATATTGCGTTATTATCTCCGGTTGTAACGCAATTGCCATGGTGATACCATCTGCTGGCGTCCACGTGTTATTATTTTTTTCTATACCCTTTCTTTCAGTTAGTTTCAAAAAATTTGCAATAGATTTATCCAAATTATTGTAAAGACTTACATACTCCTCCTGTTTGAATGAAATTTCATTATTATTTAATAAAATATCAATGTAACACTCAAGTGCATTTATAAGTATAATGATATATATTACTTGTGAAAAGATATGAGAATATACTGTGTCTATAGGAACTATAATACTAGGTTTATCGACATTATTTAAAGCTATCCAATCACTTTCTGGATCTTGTTTAAAATTAAATTCAATCTCATTAGTTTTGACACTTGCTCCCATTATAATATGTTGCTTTGTTAAATTTAGAAAATTGGGTTCTAATGCAATTGCCGTAGCAATTGTTGTTAGAGGTCCAAGAGTGATTATAGTTATTTCACCTAAAAAAATGGATCAAATTAGATATTTATATATCAAATTAATAGAGATTTCTCATAAAGTTAAAGAGAGTATTGTGTATAATTTTTTTAAATAAAAATAATTAACCTGGATATTTCTTCACGAAGTCTACATACGCTACAGAAGCGTGTTTCGATCTGTCAATTTTTGCAGTTATTTTTTGGGTAAAATTAAAATCTCCAAATCCATCATCGCCAAAGTAATCATCAGATGTATATTCATTTATTAATGGTTTGTCGGCACCAGCATATACGAGTTTCTGCCAAGTTTTGAATAAATTATTGTTATTATACGAAATCTTTAAATATTGTAAACTATAAAAAAGTTTGAATATATATGTTAGAAATATTTGATCGTTAAATGCTTACTTTTTTGTCAGCAATTGTTAAGATTTTTAATGTGTTCGTTGTTGCAGTTTTTAAATATGTATTACCATACGTGACGCCTATGGCTAGAATCTCGATATCATGAGTTTTAGCCTCATACATGAGAGCCAGTATTAATGCTAGAGCATCGTCTCCTCCAGGATCTGTATCTATCAGTATTTTACGTGGAATTTTTCGACTGTTTTACAAAAAAACGCTTTTATTACTTTACAAATACGAATATATAGTTCGATATTATTTTATCATATCAAAAGTATTATTTGCATTTGAATATCTCGACTATTTAAATTTATAAAATGATGAGATAGAAAACTTTTCTCATGCTCATTATTTTCGCCCATATGAATAAATAAAGACTAATACATAATGCTCAATTAAATAAACTAATATGAATATATAAAAAAGGGCTAAGAGTAAAAGCTGGATATAAAATATTAATATTTAATAATATTTATGATATGATGTTTTAACAAACGTTTCGACCCAATAACTAGATCATTTTTATTGTTGACAAATAAATAATAACGGCCTAAACGAAATTTCGTAAAAATACATGCTACTTAGAAACTGAATCATTTTCTTACAAAACATTGAAGTGATTAAAATTAATATATACAGGGTGTCTGTTAACGACCGCAAAATATTTCGTGCGTGTGTAGAACAGACTACACTGATTATGAGTCGAAAAGTCCTGTACCATTTGCGGTGTCAATAATAGTTAAGGAGATATTAACGTTTAAAGATAACCGAATAAGAGCGTCCACCGATCGCGGGGAGTGGGGCAAGCACCCCGCTGACCAACTTTTCGACTCAGTGTAGTCTGTTCTACACACGCACGAAATATTTTGCGGTCGTTACCAAACACCCTGTATATCCTGTTATTCTCTCTTCAAATATATTACAGAAATATCCAGTCGGTATAATATACGTTCTTCAAATCGCAAATCCAAAAGTATAATTGTCATTATTGTCGGTACGTCAACACAATTATATTTTTGAACTTGCGATTTGAAGAACGTATATTATACTGATTGAATATTTTTGAAATATGTTTGAAGAGAGAAGTAACAGGATTTATATATTAATTTTGACCACTTCAATGTTTTGTAAGAAGATAATTAAATTAATGCTTTAAATTAAGAAGCGCCATAACGGTCAGAACGTTAAGATGTTGAACTATTATAAATTCATTTAAATGTATTTATAATAGTTCAACATCTTAACGTTCTGACCGTTATGGCGCTTCTTAATTTAAAGCATTATGTTTAAACATTAGCGGTCTTTCAATCTTATTATTAATTAAATTAAGTTTTTAAGTAGCATGTATTTTTACGAAATTTCATTTAGGCCGTTATTTATTTTATTAACATTGTAAATGTTATTATGTTGTAAATGTTATTAACATTGTAAATGTTAATAAAATAAATCTAATTGTTACATCGAAATGTTTGTTAATGTATTATATCAAATATTATTAAATATTAGCATTTTATATCCAGTTTTTGATCTTAACTCTTTTTTATATATTTATATTGGTTTTCTCATACTATTTGTGCTTTAGATTATAAAAATAATCAAATAAATATTTAATTATTACCTGATGACAAAACAAAATAGACATAGCGTTAATATAATTCCAAAGATATTAATTATAGCCATTCCTTTATTGTTTGAATTATTTCCTTAATTGTTTAATGAGGCCTGTAATTATAATATATAAAATTAATATGTGTGTGTGTTACAAGCTGTTAAAACAGTTTTTTTTTTTAATATCATTGATGTGACAGTATATAATATTTGTTTTACAGGGGGTGTGGCACATTCCGGTCAATGAAATTGACAGACCTGGAAGCTTTGCTTCACATATGTCGAAGTGTGTGACGTTACTTATGCAAGTGTTAAAAGAGAGTAACGATAGTCGAATGTTAATGCAATTGTGTATACAGCTCGGAAAGATTCCAGATTCAGACAAGTAAAATTAATTAAGAATATTTAGAAAGTAAAACTTAGAATCACTCTTCTGTTAATAATATTATAGCAAGACAAGAATTGCGCGATAAGAGAAGATGGACGATATAAATAATACATATAATTTTTTTACATAATATAATCTTAATACAATCTTTTTCTGCATTTAGGAAATACTTGCGTGATTCTGAGAGAGAACAATTATCTCGACAAGCTCTGACGCTTTGTCAACAGTCGCTCAGAAGCAGAGTTCAGACAATGGGCTCGGGAAGCACAATTGACAGTGTACATCTCATTAGAACAGATGCTAGAACACAAGTACTACTTGACGTATACGAAACATATCAACTTGTCCAGAAACATTTTCAGGGCAAAGAATCTACTATACAAACATTTGCAACATTGTTGACAGATACGTACAAGATGTACATAGGAAATAAAGTAAGTAAATCTTGTAGAAAATTATATTATTATACTTGTACCAATAGTCACAGGCGAATTTAGTGCTATCTATGCCGAATGTACTTTGCACATAAGAAGTAAAACGTACGAAGTTTATATACATCTTCTTATCTCTTATCTTTTAATTTCCTTTTTATTAGACATTTTTCTTGTTATACACTTGCACAACAGTTTTACAATTCGTCATTGACAATGATACGCAATTAAATTAATATCTGATCAGTTGTAAACATTTGTGGAATATAGATAAAACGTTTATCAAAGATAACATTATTGCTGTAGATTGTAAATCATGTTATGAATATTTACGTCGTTAGAAAAAGGAGCCAACTAATTATAAACCATGAAATATATAAATTGTAATTTTTTTACCTGTATTATAGTATTCGTACGATATTATAGAATCTTACTTTAGATTGGAAGACATCTTTTTTAGTTTCGAATACCATTTAAGTTATTTGTTATACTTCATTTCTTGCTGTATTTATAACAATTACTGGATAAAAATCGCGACAATTTCAATAATTGCGCTTTTATATTACTTTCTAGAACTTGGAAGGAAATGTCTTAGAGATTGCTATTAAGTGTTGTCAACGTCAGATACAAGCGAACAAACTCGCATCTATTAATAATAGTAATAGCTCCCACGTGCCACCTCAAGTTACCTCTACTATTTCGGTAAATAAATCATCTTATTATTGCAGTTGTCAACATGTAATTTAATTATTACCAATATCTTCAAATTAATATCTCGTTGCAGGCACCCACACCACAAGTCCCAGTGAACTCAACGTCACCGCAAACATTGCAGAATCGCAAACCGCATAGAAATTTGACATCTACCGGACGTCCGAGGGGACGTCCACCAAATGTTAATAAATATTTGCAACATGCTCTGCAACAAAGTGGCAATGTGATGAATCAGTTCAGTTCCAAGAGTAACTTTGCGAATTACATGGGTGCATCCGGGCCAAATCGTTCTCTAATAAATCCTTATTTCATGAGTCCATTAGTTGACACAAACATGTTATCGGCTATACTAGCCAGCGGACTAAACAGCAATATGATGGATCCTCTAGCGGCTATGACCTATTTAAATCAAGTAGGAAGTTATCAAGACATCCTCAGGCAATATCAAAACAACTTATCGTCATTGACCAATCTTGCTAGCGGCTTAAACAATCCTGGTACCACTATAACCAGCATGAGCAATGTTTCGACAATGAGTACATCCAGTTCTAATATCAATACTTCAAGTAACATTGCCAATTTAAATAGTCTAAAAGGTTCCTTAGATCCTATGACAGCGTCAGTGCAACAATTACTGAGTTTAAGTAATTCTACAGCATCAACTTCGCGACCTGCACCCATGTATCATCAAGCGACGGCCAAGACTAGCACAACTATGTCACTAACAAAGGATCGACCTAATATATCTATAACACCAGTTAGCACCTCGATGAGCCAGCAGCCTCATCACAAAACATCGAAGCCGCCCAGCAAGCAACCGAGCTCACAGACTGAGCCAGTGTTACCCGTCCACATTCCTAAATCGCTTCAAATATCACCAACGAAATCGGTATTACACTCGTCGAATACGACGGCGCAAGTATCCTTGCTCAAACCATCCATAATTCAACAGGTGAAGAGCAGTCCGCCTAAGCAAATGACCGCGCCGCAGATACGAGTCTCAAAATCCTTAACTGAACCGCAACCCGCACACAATCCATCGTTGTCGCACTCGCCTTTAAAGAATAGCGCTAGTACTGTGACCACGAATCCGACCGCGACCATGTCACACGTCCCCCATACGTCCATGGGTGCGCCGGTGATCATGAAACAACAGCAAGCATTACCCATGAACTTACCGAACGTATCGCGTTCCGGTACGTCATTACAGCACAAATTATTGTCGAAAAAGAACTCGCGACCTTACTCAACGCAAACGAACGTTCAAAATCATCCCATGAGGAAGGCAAAGTCGACAGTCAAGACGGCGGCGATGTCAGTGCCGATGTCTGGCAATTTTCCAAACCTATTGAACGCAATGCCATCGGCAAGTTCCGTCACGATGTCGCAACCGCCTTTTATACCTCCAGAATTAAGCGGCATTTCGGTGAGTGCCGTCGGTTCACAACCTGGCGGTATTAAGACCGCAGCTGCGGCCGCGGCCGCTAAGTATCATAGCTACAAGAAATCCATCAGCAAGCCAAAATCGACTGCGACACCAGCGATAGAGGTGCCAGGCTCGTTACCGGCTTCATTTTCTTCCAGCAGCTCAGTCGAGGCACTCTCGATGCTGTCGCAATTACAACAGCACTCTCACCTGGAAATAATACCGCAGCAGAAGGCGCCATTGAAATCAAATATTGATTATAAAACTCTTTCTTCTTCCGTGAATGTGGTGCCATCAAAAGTCCCAGAGACTTTAAGATCGTCGACAACTGCTGACAACTGTATATCTATGTATGATCTATCTAGAGGAAAAACTGCTAACGTTTCAAACAAAAAGACACAAGATAAACTCCTCACTGATAATGTCGAAATTATAACATTAGACGATTAAGAATCGCTCAAATAAGTCACGGACATTTGTTGCGATTATTTTGCGTAATGACTTTTCAAGGAGTATTTGCAGTTATCTGCTCGATAATGTTATTATTAATTCCTTGCAATGAAATGACAAACTATATTCGCGCAATAGCGATGATGTTTTAGCGGAAAATTTTATAAAGTTATTTTAGCGTTGGTAATACGGAAAAATAACTTCGGAAAATTTTTTGTTAACTGAATTATGTGTTTTATATGCATTTCGTATAAACTCGACTTCGAATTATTAAATTAGATTAAAATGCATAAATGCAATTGTATGTAAAGTTGACCGAATTCCAATATCATCAATTGAATAAGTAGTTGATTTACATAATATATATGAAATTTGTTTTTCTTTAAAATTTTTATTAGCAGGAAATTATAGAATTATTGTAGAATTATATGTGACAAATGTATATTGTCTTTTGTATATATGAGTATTATGTTTCTTTATTGTAAAACTTTGCTTTCAGTATGAACGAAAGATTATTCTGTAACGCTTTAATTAGTCATATTTAATTATACTTAATATTTTTTTTTATTGGAAAATAGTGTATAAATATTCTAAGAAACATCAATTTACATATTAAAGTCGATCATTCTTTTTTATAATTTTCTCATAATTCTTTGGCTAATTTTTCATTATCTGAGAATCAATCACGTAACTTTTTTCTTGAAAGGGCGGAAACATGAAAAGTGAAAATTTTTATGTGTATGTACGGAGGCGTTACGAGGCACTCTCCAGCAGTAGGGCACAAAATTTGGAGGGGCGCAAAATTTTAATATCTAGCGCTACTCTTATAAATATAAAGCTAGCTATCTTGATATTTTAAATGAATTAGCTAAAAGTGATTTTCTGGAAATATTTTCAAATTTAGTAATAGCGTTACATATCTTATTAACTGTGCCAATGTCTGTGGCAATTGCAGAGGCATTCTTTTCAAAATTAAAAATAAAGAATTATCTGAGAAATACAATGACGCAGACGCAGTCATGCAATTTAACTATGATATGAATTAAAAAAAAATTGGCGAACAGTTTTGATTACGTAATCAGTCTTGATTACATAACAATTGAAGACGTAATTAGAAATTTTCAAAAATTACCCTGATGAAAATTTTTCTTATAATTTTTAAACGAATTGGAATATTTTTCGGAAATACTCACAAGAAATATTTGGAAAGTTTACATCTTCTCTCAGACATGTATATTCTGAAATATTCTAAGACTTCTTATCCTATAATTTTTAAAAAATGTTTTTTAATTTCTTAGATTTTATAACATTCATCAGAAATTATACTTACAAAAAATCTTAGAAATCTTACGATATTTCATAATTAACATATATAGAAAATTCTGAGAAAAGATGTAGATTTTCTGAGAAGTGTTCCAATTCGTATAAAAAATGTGAGAAAGTTATAAAATTATATAGAAATTCTGAAAAATTATATGAAAAATTCTGAGAAAAATTTTCACCAGAGTAAAGCCAAAAAATGTAATAGTATATTGCATTAAAGCGTCCAATATATTATTACAAAAGAAAATATGAAATTTATTGTATTCGTATTCCTGTGTTATGCAAATTGTTGAAAATTCTTTTTTTTTTATTATTGGTTCATTGCTGTTGGCGGAGGATTGGTGCTTCAGAGACTTAGCAATCCTTGTGATAGGGCGCAAAAGCAAATTCCAACGTAGGACGCCAAAGGCGGTCGTAACACCTCCGTATATATGTATGTTTATGTAACATGCATAAAAATTTTCGCTTTCCAAATTTTCGCTGTAGAGAAAAATTTTATACAATCGATACCCTGGTTAAGGGTCTCGGCACAAAGATGATCGTAATTGATTGTCACTTACGGTCATCTTTATGCTTAGGCCTGCATAGGCCCTAATTCGTAATTTAGACTTAACCTCATTTAACTTGATGATAATGTAAAAATTGTATTTTTTTGCTATGATCACTAAACTAATGGTTTTGTAACAGCAACTTTAAAAGTCATTCATTACAAAACCCTCGATTAACCATAGATAAAAAATTATAATTTTTACATTATCATCAGGTTAAGGCTAACTATAAGTTAACCAGTAAATGAAAAACTGGGCCTTAGAAGAATATACAATGAAACTTCATTATATACTTTATAATGTTATTAATCATAAACTACCAAATTTATAGGTAAATACCTAAAAATTTTATATTATTTAATTATGAAGTTTCAGTTATATACATTCCTCTCCCTAATTAAAAATATTATTAATTTATATTATTATGTTAACCGACAGACAAACGCATTGCTTTTTTACTAATTCTACTAAAGCATTTCTGCATAGGGAAATATTATTTTTCTACCGTATGTACTTTATAATGACGACACTTTTTTCTACA